GGGGGCGCAAGTAGCTGGTCTTGCCTAGGGCGCAAAATAGTCTAGCACCCTCTCTACATGCACTCACTCTGCTGCACGTCATTGCTCTGCACAGGCCTCCTGATGGTGACAACAGCGTGCCACGCCTCGGCAATGTGTGCCGGCATGGGACCTTGCAGCTTCCACCGAGGGTGTGTGTATGACAGGGTGACACTGTAGGAGCACAACTGGAGGACAGTAGTCACCCCATAACAGGAAGGATCTGAGGAGCCGGTACAACTGTACAAGACTGATGGGAAGGACGGAGGTCAGATAGAAGACTGAAGGGGAGGACAGAGGTCAGATAGAAGACTGAAGGGGAGGACGGGGGTCAGATATAAGACTGAAGGGAAGGACGGAGGTCAGATAGAAGACTGATGGGGAGGACGGAGGTCAGATAGAAGACTGAAGGGAAGGGCGGAGGTCAGATAGAAGACTGAAGGGAAGGACGGAGGTCAGATAGAAGACTGATGGGGAGGACGGAGGTCAGATAGAAGACTGAAGGGAAGGGCGGAGGTCAGATAGAAGACTGAAGGGAAGGACGGAGGTCAGATAGAAGACTGATGGGGAGGACGGAGGTCAGATAGAAGACTGAAGGGAAGGGCGGAGGTCAGATAGAAGACTGAAGGGAAGGACGGAGGTCAGATAGAAGACTGATGGGGAGGACGGAGGTCAGATAGAAGACTGAAGGGAAGGGCGGAGGTCAGATAGAAGACTGAAGGGAAGGACGGAGGTCAGATAGAAGACTGATGGGGAGGACGGAGGTCAGATAGAAGACTGAAGGGAAGGGCGGAGGTCAGATAGAAGACTGAAGGGAAGGACGGAGGTCAGATAGAAGACTGATGGGGAGGACGGAGGTCAGATAGAAGACTGAAGGGAAGGGCGGAGGTCAGATAGAAGACTGAAGGGAAGGACGGAGGTCAGATAGAAGACTGATGGGGAGGACGGAGGTCAGATAGAAGACTGAAGGGAAGGGCGGAGGTCAGATAGAAGACTGAAGGGAAGGACGGAGGTCAGATAGAAGACTGATGGGGAGGACGGAGGTCAGATAGAAGACTGAAGGGAAGGGCGGAGGTCAGATAGAAGACTGAAGGGAAGGACGGAGGTCAGATAGAAGACTGATGGGGAGGACGGAGGTCAGATAGAAGACTGAAGGGAAGGGCGGAGGTCAGATAGAAGACTGAAGGGAAGGACGGAGGTCAGATAGAAGACTGATGGGGAGGACGGAGGTCAGATAGAAGACTGAAGGGAAGGGCGGAGGTCAGATAGAAGACTGAAGGGAAGGACGGAGGTCAGATAGAAGACTGATGGGGAGGACGGAGGTCAGATAGAAGACTGAAGGGAAGGGCGGAGGTCAGATAGAAGACTGAAGGGAAGGACGGAGGTCAGATAGAAGACTGATGGGGAGGACGGAGGTCAGATAGAAGACTGAAGGGAAGGGCGGAGGTCAGATAGAAGACTGAAGGGAAGGACGGAGGTCAGATAGAAGACTGATGGGGAGGACGGAGGTCAGATAGAAGACTGAAGGGAAGGGCGGAGGTCAGATAGAAGACTGAAGGGAAGGACGGAGGTCAGATAGAAGACTGATGGGGAGGACGGAGGTCAGATAGAAGACTGAAGGGAAGGGCGGAGGTCAGATAGAAGACTGAAGGGAAGGACGGAGGTCAGATAGAAGACTGAAGGGGAGGACGGAGGTCAGATATAAGACTGAAGGGAAGGCCGGAGCTCAGCCTGATCTCAGCAGTGGGAGGGAGGTCGATGGAGGCCGTCCAGTAACTCTAATCACTTTGGGTCTGGCGGGATTGGAGGAGAGACGTCACAGATCACAGAGTTGTGAAGAGGAATTATCGCCGGTTCGGATTTCTGGCCTCCGCTGACGATCGGCCTCCTCTGAGACTTCCCTTATCACCGGAGATAAGAGCAGGAATCTGAGACTGAGCGGCTTCCACCACCGGCGGCCGTCCTACAAAGCAGAAGGCTAATTGAACAGGAGGCCGTCCTCCCTCCCTCTGCGCGGCACTACGTGTGATCTTTGGCACCACGAAGCCGCCGCGAGTCGCCGGGGAGGATTACTTTTCCGGACGGATTTGCGGCTCCGCCAGGGAAGTGTCAGACGTTGTCGGAGGAAGGAGCCGGCGCAGTGCGAGGACGCTAACACTCGGAGAGTTCTTCAATTGTAACGGCTGCAGCTCGCATCAGGGAGTACACCCAACCTGAGGCTACAGACAGGGCCGGAGATCCCACAAGGCCAACCAAGGCCCGGCCTCGGGGCAGCAGGGAGGAAAGGGGCAGTAGGGAGTAGAGGGGCAGCAGGGTGGAGAGGGGCAGCAGGGTGGAGAGGGGCAGCAGGGTGGAGAGGGGCAGCAGGGTGGAGAGGGGCAGCAGGGTGGAGAGGGGCAGCAGGGTGGAGAGGGGCAGCAGGGTGGAGAGGGGCAGCAGGGTGGAGAGGGGCAGCAGGGTGGAGAGGGGCAGCAGGGTGGAGAGGGGCAGCAGGGTGGAGAGGGGCAGCAGGGTGGAGAGGGGCAGCAGGGTGGAGAGGGGCAGCAGGGTGGAGAGGGGCAGCAGGGTGGAGAGGGGCAGCAGGGTGGAGAGGGGCAGCAGGGTGGAGAGGGGCAGCAGGGTGGAGAGGGGCAGCAGGGTGGAGAGGGGCAGCAGGGTGGAGAGGGGCAGCAGGGTGGAGAGGGGCAGCAGGGTGGAGAGGGGCAGCAGGGTGGAGAGGGGCAGCAGGGTGGAGAGGGGCAGCAGGGTGGAGAGGGGCAGCAGGGTGGAGAGGGGCAGCAGGGTGGAGAGGGGCAGCAGGGTGGAGAGGGGCAGCAGGGTGGAGAGGGGCAGCAGGGTGGAGAGGGGCAGCAGGGTGGAGAGGGGCAGCAGGGTGGAGAGGGGCAGCAGGGTGGAGAGGGGCAGCAGGGTGGAGAGGGGCAGCAGGGTGGAGAGGGGCAGCAGGGTGGAGAGGGGCAGCAGGGTGGAGAGGGGCAGCAGGGTGGAGAGGGGCAGCAGGGTGGAGAGGGGCAGCAGGGTGGAGAGGGGCAGCAGGGTGGAGAGGGGCAGCAGGGTGGAGAGGGGCAGCAGGGTGGAGAGGGGCAGCAGGGTGGAGAGGGGCAGCAGGGTGGAGAGGGGCAGCAGGGTGGAGAGGGGCAGCAGGGTGGAGAGGGGCAGCAGGGTGGAGAGGGGCAGCAGGGTGGAGAGGGGCAGCAGGGTGGAGAGGGGCAGCAGGGTGGAGAGGGGCAGCAGGGTGGAGAGGGGCAGCAGGGTGGAGAGGGGCAGCAGGGTGGAGAGGGGCAGCAGGGTGGAGAGGGGCAGCAGGGTGGAGAGGGGCAGCAGGGTGGAGAGGGGCAGCAGGGTGGAGAGGGGCAGCAGGGTGGAGAGGGGCAGCAGGGTGGAGAGGGGCAGCAGGGTGGAGAGGGGCAGCAGGGTGGAGAGGGGCAGCAGGGTGGAGAGGGGCAGCAGGGTGGAGAGGGGCAGCAGGGTGGAGAGGGGCAGCAGGGTGGAGAGGGGCAGCAGGGTGGAGAGGGGCAGCAGGGAGGAGAGGGGCAGCAGGGAGTAGAGGGGCAGAAGGGAGTATAGGGGCAGCAGGGAGGAGAGGGGCAGAAGGGAGGAGAGGGGCAGAAGGGAGTAGAGAGGCAGCAGGGGTGTGGAGTTTCTATCTCCCGATGCCCGGGGACATGCAGTTCCGGGAGGCGGGCGGTTAGTTGTTTTCTACATTTAGCCCGGCTTTGGGTAAAGCCGCGGCTTGTTTTGTACAAGTGATCCCGGTGATGTCGCTGAGATCCCTTGTATGCAGCCTGCAGGTCCGCCATTCTCCATGGGAGGGGGGAGGGGGGGGTTGGCAGGTAAGGGGGCCGCATTGAGGAACCTGTCCTTGGGGCAGCAGAGAGAGTAAATGCTGGAACAGACAGAATCTGGAGCAGTTGTCCGTAGCAACCAATCAGCTTCTCTCTTTCATCTTCAAAGCTTAACTGAACAAACTGAAGAGGGAAGCTGATTGGTTGCTCCTGTTTTTATAATTCCCCCACAACCTACCATGACATGAACTCGTCAGGCTGCGCTGTGACGTCTTTACATCCTCTCCATAGAGAGATTAATCCAGAATTTGGATACAAATGTTTCATCCTGAAATAGAGAACTCCCAATTGATCTCAGTGGGAGGAATGATGGTACAGCAGCGCCACCTAGTGAGGAACACGGGTCACTGCAGGGAGAGGGGTGGAGGGGGACAGTAATGGAGATGTAGCAGTCTAGTTTAATGAGAGGAATCATGGGAGAATAGTCCATAATGGCGGAGGGAAGCTGACACGGGCAAATGAGGGCGGGGCCGGCAGGAGGCGGAAACTGGAAGACAAAATCAGCTGACATAAAAAAAGGTGGGGAAAGGGGAGGGGCCTAAGAAGGGCTGCGCACTGTGAGGCAGTTTGTCCCTTACGGTGAGCGGTAGATGTCAGTGGAGACACACGTGGAGGAGCTGGAGACAACATGGAGCCGGCACTGACACTGAGTGCAGCAGAC